AAAAAAAAAAAAAGTGTTCACAGCTATCACCATAGCATGGGCTGCTCAGAGCAGGTGGTCGCCTTCCTTACCTGCACCTGCTCATAAAGATAATAACCCTCCCCAGGTGTCTCAGAAACCCCAGACCCGCTTCTGGTTTCAGGCGCAGACCTGCATGATATACTCAAAGATCAGAATCATGCTCCCCAGGGTGGTGATGTTGGCCAGAGTTGAGAAGACGGACAGCACGTTGAGGTTCTGGATTAACACCAACAGGACCAGGAAGGGCAGGATGGTCAGCATGTAGAAGCGAATGTCCAGGATGGGGGTCAGCACCAGCCTCTCCCTGGGTTGGCAGATGTTGGAGGTCACATGGGCTTCTTCTACTATCTGACAGAGCAGAAAGAAGGGAGTGCAGTTAGGGTTAAAGATTAAACACAGGACACCCACTTAATTAACAGGTAACTTTTTAGTACAGCTTGTCCCAAATATTACAAAGGACATAATCATAGTAAAAAAAAATTATTTGCTGCTTATATGAAATTCCAGTTTAACTGAGTGTCATATTTTTTTATTTGCCAGTTACTCTAACTGTAGTGCCCATGACTGTGACAACCAGAAACTCTTAGAATCAGAAAATCTCAAGGTCAAAGAGGTTGTCATCTAGCCCAACCTCTTTGTCCCTACCAAACGGTTTTCTTTCATACATCCAGACAACGGGAGTTGATTACACAAAAATATTTTCTTCTACTTTAGACAGCTCTTAAAGGTAGGAAGCTCTGAATACTGGGCAACATCTGTCTACCTGAATATTCCATCTGCATCTCCCGTCACGGTCCTGGGTGTTTGAGGGCACAAACACAAATATGCTCCCTTTACTCTGTGCAGGGCAGAGAGAAGGCTACGACTGATTTTTAACTCCTGTTAGGAATGTAATGAGGGCAAGGCTGTTGCTTATTTGCCTTCTATTTAATTAGTCATCTCTACATGACAACCCTGAGATACCTAAAGTGTATCTTACCAACACTTTTCAGGCTCAAAAGTCTCAATTATTTCTGATCGGACCTGATTGCGAGCCTCTGTCTCCATCCTGGTTACACTCCTCAGGTGTTGCTTTGGTTTCTCTATGAGCCTTTAAAAGGCTGATTCCCAGGACTGAGAGAACTCCCAAGAGCAGCCTGATAGGGGGTTAGAAATGAAGCTGTCTCCTCCTGTTCAAGATCTGAACACTGTGCTTTTGCTAATGCAGCCCTCGCAGTAGGACGTCTACTTTTCTCCCACTCTGCCTAGAAGAGGCCTCTTACCTGTCGTAAATTGTCTGCCATAAACATAAAATAAACACTGCAGAAGCCCAGCTGGGTGACGATTAATAAGAAGCTGACAGTGTACCTGGGAAGGAAGAGGGAGACAGAGGGAGAAAGATTATTTTTTTAAAATGAATTCATTTTTATTTTTGAAAGAATTATTTCTGTTATTTTCAATATTTCCCCACTCTTTTATATTGAAAATTTTCAAGTCCACAGAAAAACTTGAAAGAATAGTATAATTAGCATCCACATGTCCTTTAACTAGACATATCAATTATTACCTTTTCGCCCTAATGGCATCATGTATGTTTTACACACACACACACACACACACACACACACACACACATACACAATTTTTCAGAACCATTTGAAAGTCAATTGTAGATAGAACACTTCAACTCTAAATACCTTAGTATACCACTCTTAAGACTATGATGTCCAGAAAATCAACTTCAATATACTCAAACATATAGTCCATAATTTAAAAATAACCCAATTCTCTCCAAAATATCTTTTGTAGCTATTTTTATTTTTTTGATTCAGGATCTAATCAATGTTTGTATATTGCATTAAGGCTGTGTCTTTTTAGTCTTTTTTCATGTAGAGCAGCCCCTAATCCATCTTTTTTTGTTTTCCATGACATCGTTTTTCTGGGAAAAGTCCAGGCCAACTGCCATGCAGACTGTCCACGACGGTGGACTTGTACAGTTGTTTCCTCAAGAACAGATCCAGATAAGCACTTCAGCAGGCAAACCACATAAGTGATATTCTGTACATTTTTTCCCATACTATCAGGAGGCTCATGATGTCCTGTGGTTACCTGGTGGTGACTGCCAGGCTTTTCCACTGCAAATGCACATTTCCTTCTTTGTAACCTGGGGTAAAACTCTGAGATGGCGTGAATACCCTACTCCCCTCAAACCAAGGGGTTTAACATTCATTAATGCCCCTTGTCTGAATCAATTATTTCATCAGTGGTTGCAGGCTGGTGGTTTTCTAATTCTATCTGTAATTTCTTCTAAATTTATTAGCTGACATTTAAGAAAGATATGTTCTCTCCTCCACCTTTTTTAAAAAATCACAATAGACTCACATAAAAATTTTTTAAAATTTTTTAAAAATTTGAGCCAAACTGATGACATTGCCAGAAAGCAAGATCTCAAATGTGCCTTCACATCCATTATTTTTAAATTTAATACACTGTACTCCATTATTATTATTATTATTCTTTTGGAATTTAAATTGTCTCCAATTTGGGGATGCATTTATTTTTTAAGGGAACAAAAATATGCTCCTCTACTTAGATTCTAATGTTTAGATTGGTGTTTTTCAAAATTGGATTGTAGTTCCAATTGCATCAGAATCATCTGAGGTTTATGCAAAAAAAACCACAACACAGGTTCCTGGCTCTCCGATCAGCCTATTGAGTCAGAAGCTGGGTGGTGTCATTGTGAGACTTCAAAATGGAGATATTTTTCTCTTTATTAGGTGGATTTTGAATGATTTTGAATTCAGTGACTTCTCGTGTGCCCATGCCAGCTTCCACAATGATTGTTTCCAATCCTCTACCATCTATCCCCTCACCCCTACACTACACACATGCTTATTTTGTTGGAGTATTTGTAGCAAACTAAAGACCTCGTGGCACTCACCTGTAAATAACTCAGTATGCAGCCCTAACGGACAAGGGCTTAAAAAAATATAACCATCATGCCATTATCAGCCCTTACAAAATTAACAATAATTCCTTTATATTATTTTATATTCAGCCCATATTCATATTTCTCCAAATGTCTATTTTACAGTTGGTTTCTAACAAGTCTATACATTGCATTTTGTTATTAAAGTCTCTTAAGTTTTTTAAACTGCTAAATTCCCCTTGCCCTGTTTTATTTTTCCCTTTGCAACTTTTAATTTTTTGGGTTAGTATTGAAGGTACCAGAGAATATGTCCTGTAGTATGGCCCACTTTCCAGAGTTTAGCTGACGATTTCATAATGCCAGTTCTCTTATGTCTCTGTCCCCTGTGTTTATTGTAAACTGATGTTAGATCTCGCAGCCTGCTTAGACGGAGGTCCATCATTTACCTTCCTGGAGAGGATATTCCCGAGGTAAGCTCTGTACTCCCTACTGTACCCCGTTACAAGGTACCTCATGTCTGGCTGACCAGTGTAAACATGAGATGCTAAGATTAGTACCTGGGGCCGGGTGGTGTCCGTGTATTTATTCTTCCTTCATGGAGTTTCCCAATGGCCTTTCACCTAATGGCTTGTGCATCCGCTGATCATTGCTGCCTCCACGAAATGGGCAGTTTTTTGTTGTTTTGTTTTTTTAAAAAATATTTTTAATTTATTTTTAATTTTTATGTATTTATTTATTTATTTTTTAATATCTTTATTGATTTCAGAGAGGAAGGGAGATGGAGAGAGAGAAACATTGATGTAGGAGTGAAACATCGATCTGCTGACTCACTCACACCCCTACTGGGGATTGAACCCACAACCCAGGCACCCACCCAGAAGGGAATCAAACCCTCAACCTTTGGCTGCACAAAACAAAGCTAACCCAGGTGAGCCGCACTGGCCAGGGCTGGGCAATTTTAATCAAGCCCCCCAGGTATCCCTTAGCACACTAAAAATTACAAATGTTTGGTTTAAATATTTTCCCAGCTCTTTCTCAGTTACTGGATCTCCAGAGAAATGGAGTGGTGGGAGCTAGATGTTCTGGATTCCAGTCCTTGCTCTGCCACTAAATTCCTGCGTAAGCTTGGGCAGCTTTATTGCCCTATCTGGGCTTCATTTCCCCCCCCCCCATTTGAATACACATGGATATGGTGATCTCTAGGGACCCTTTCCGCCCAAAAGTTTTACTCATGGTGTCATCAGAAACTGATAAACCGTGGTGAGAAAGGATGGGCTGAGAAAGGATGGGCAATCACGAGTCACCCATTATTACAGCCCACGATCTCACCTGTCTGATAATCAGAGTACCTCCTAATCAGGAGATCAATGACCTACTGAGAGTCCCAAGTGAGGAGCTGCCACAGGGATCTTGGGAGCCACAGTGCTGACTCAGTACCGCCTGAAGGGCTCTGCTGGGAAAGCTGAAATGTCAGGAGATTTCTGCGTCTCAATGTGGAAAGGAATTCAAAACATACTGTTAGATAAAAGAGCAGATTTCACAAAAATATTCTAATTAATGTACAAGAAAATACAAAACAAAGTGTACATTTCCAGCCCTGGCCAGTGTGGTTCAGTTGGTTGAGCATTTTCCCATGCACTGAAAGGTTGCGGGTTCGATTTCAGGTCAGGGCACATGCCTGGGTAGGAGGCTGGATCCCCAGTAGGGGGCGTGCAGGAGGCGGCTGATCCATGTCTCATACTCACATTGATGTTTCTCTGTCCTTCTCCCTCTCCCTTTCCCTCTCTCTAAAAATCAATTTAAAAAATATTTTTGAAAATGTCTATTTCCATTACCACACAGATACCCACATACATGCAGAGAAACAAAAGTCTAGGGGAACACTGACGAACTAGAGAGCAGTGATTACATCTTGAATAAAGAGTCGGATGGGGGATGGAGCTATTGGAGGAGATTCTCTATATTTTTTGACAGTTTGCAATAAGAAGATATTCATTTGAAACCTGTGCAACTGGAAATAAAGGAAGAACAGGTGAGGATTATTATTGCCGTTGTTGTTGTTATTATTACTGCTATAATATCAGTAACTACTACCTTCCCCACACCGAGTGGGTCCTCAGCCAGGAGTTTGGGCAGGTTTCGAGGCTGTACATCATGGCCTCTCCGTAGTTCACAAAAGGCTTTTGCAGTCTAGAGAAAGGACAAGAAACGCGTAACTTAGAACATTTTTGTGAAAACTACAATTTACTCCCACAGTGATTAATTATTATATATTTGTGTGTTAACACAGAGCATTCTAGCTGTTTTCTAGCAACAATATTACTGAAATATTTTATAACAGTATACTTTAAAAACTTTTGGAGTCCGCCTTTTCTCTTTTTTTATAGTAGTTGTTTTAAGCACTAACGTTTAAGTGGGTTTTTAAAAAGTAAACAGTAGCCGTGAATTGATGAGGTCTGCACACCAGGAAAGGGGGGATGTGAGAGGAGGTGAGCTGTGCAGGCCTGGTGGGGGCAGGAGGAAGTAGGCAGAGAGGGGTCTGGGTTTCCGGGCTTACATTCCGAACTCCTTCCCACGGCCGAGGGTGTTGGGACATTTGAGAGGCCTATCCCGGACCAGATCACACGCAAAGGTGATACTCGGGCTCCTGCCCAGCAGCCCTGTAGGATGTGACACCCACATTCCAGCCTCTCTTGTCCCTCTTCCTTAGGTGGCCCTTCCTCAGGGTGGGGAAGGCCCTGCTGAGGAGCTTTCTGTGAGTAAGAGGGAGCAGCAGCAGTTTGCTGAGGGCCCTGATCCCTGGTGCTAATTGCACGTCTGAGGGGAGTAGCTGGGAGAGGAAAAGGTCCCCAGACTTGTCAGGAAGCCAGGGTTTAGATCCCAGCACGCCCTCTCAGCTAGCTGAGAGACCTCAAGCCTCTTTAGATTTCTGAGCCTCAGTTTTTGCCCCAGACTCAAGGAGACAGTGAGGGATGGATAGAGATGTGTTGGTAAGGCAGCATGATCCTTCTATTTTGATTATTATTCACTGTGCTTGGCATTTCAAATATAAAGGAGGTCACATTGCATAGGACTGGCAAATATATTAGTCTGATGATCACAAATTCAAAAGCTGTGGGGACCAGACCAGTATTAGTAATGTGGTGAGAGGGTGTGAGACAACGGGGAGTAGTGGGGACAGTGGCAAACCCTCTGGTACACTTCCTGTCCTAAAAGGGGTTGACTAGAACTTGGCTGCCGCCGAATGATAAAGGAATGAAGCCCCAGAGGTGTCAGATTGTCTCACTGGCAAGAAGAAGATGAAGATCTTTTTTTAAATGTGAAGTCTCCACATTTTTAGACATAGGCTAAAACAAAACAAAGTAAAAACTGTGGAATTTCCCCAAAACGTAACCGAAGGCCATAGTCAGCTCTTAGGCCATCAGTCTGTGACCTCTGTGTTAGAAAGGACAACGAAAAACGAGTCATCGAAAAGAAGTCAGGAGAAGGCTATCGTGAATGGCACAGGTATTAGAAGCCTACTTGGTGATCTAATGGGCCCAGCAGGCTTGAGGGAAGAAAAGGTTTGCAAAATAGTTAAAGCGGAGTCAGGAAGACCTTGGAATACAGGCGCCGCCACTGGCTGGCTGTGTGCTCCTCAGCAAGGCGCTTAACTCCGATCTAAGTCTCAGTTTGCTCGTCTGTAAAATGGGAGTAATTATAGTGCTATACAAGTTTACTGTAAGGAGTAAATAAAAGGCGGCTTGCAAAGCTCTCGCCGTGTTCCTGGTACAGTGTAATTGTGCAATAAATTGAATTGCAGAATGTGTAAGCGCTCTTACCAGTGTTTTATGAGCTGGAAAGTGCTCCACACGTTAGGCGTGACTGATATATTCTCCAGATACACCTATTTGGGTTTGGTAAATTGACATGAGGAGTTTCATTTACTATCTCTTGTGCCTGATGACCCGTTTACATGCCTCGGGAACAGGTCAGAGCTGTGGACAGAGAGCCACCAGGTGGTGGGCTGTAAGGAATTACCAACCACGCACGAACTGATAGTTTACACATATGAAGCTCTTAGCATTGTTTGTTTTCACTGCATTTGTCTTTTCTTTGCATTGAAGTTTCAAAAATATAAACACTGAATATCTGATGTGTGCTTTATTAATGACTAAAGTCATTGTGAACTAGTCATTTCATTGCTAACTAAATCGTCCCCCAAAAGGTTTACCTGGAACAAATTACCCTTACGAGGTATGTGTATTGGAGGTGGGGGAGGTTGCGGGGGGATTAGAGGAAGAAAGACATCTCTAAGTATCTCGCATACAGATGCGGTTCATAGAGCACGTTTGCACCTTGGATCAGTTTGACCTTTCCAGGTTCATGGGGTGCAGGAACTTGACAGTACCACCCAGCTAGTCGGCAGCAGAACTGGGCCTGAAACTAGGAGCTTCAGTTGAGGTTTATCACCGCCTCTGTAGAATCTAGAACAGCAGGGGTGGTGGCTTGAAGCAATGGCCAGGTAATTGGGTCAATGTCAAGGGAAACTCAACACACCCTCAGATAGGGCCTGGAGCGGGGTGGGAGAGAAGCAGGACTCTCACCTCTGACTGAGGTGATTCGCGCAGTTCACCAGGATGAGCATGCAGTGCACAGTGAGGACCCCGATGACCAGCAGGCTGACGGGACCAACCTGGAGGGCAGAGGAGAGGCGGGCCGTCAGCCACACGCTGGTCCCTCCCACCCCGGCCCTCTCCCAGCCTCTCATAACAAAGCTGCCTCTGGGATGAGCGCCCCTGCCTGAACGTCCTTGGGCCTCCAGATGCTCTGGCTTAGATGCCCTTCTTAGCATCACTGCAAAGTGGCTGCCCAACCTCTGCTAGGACACTTGCAGTGACAGAGCACTCACTACCTCCCCAGATTTAGGATCTTTCGCTCTTGCACAGGGCTGTCAACATGGGCACTTAGTGACATTTTGGGCCAGATGGTTCTTTGTTGTGGGGGCTGTCCTGTGTGCTTTAGGATGTTTAGCAGCATTCCTTGGCCTCTACTCACCAGGTATCAGTGGCATGCTCCCTCCCCAAACAAGTTGTGACAACCAAGAATGTCTCTAGACATTGCCAATGTCTTTGGGGGGGTGTGTGAAAAACTGTCCTCAGTTGAGAATCACTGCTCTGAAATGTCTAATTTGTCAATATCTCTTCTCTTTTTTAAATAAAAATTGTATATATTGAAGGTGTACAACATGATGATTTGATATACACATAGTGAAATGATTACTGTAATCAAGCTAATGAACAATATCTTCTCACAGTTTCCATTTTTTTGTATGTGGGAAGAAATTAAAAAGCAAGGCTCATTATTAATCATAATCTCCCAAATATGATCAGATGGGCATAGAGTAAAGAGGAACTGTCTCACCTCCTTTGTTCTGGACACTCATGCCTTGAGAGATATGACCTGAGGTAACATTATTTATAATAAAGAAGCAAATGAGAGATCGAGAGTACCACTAGATTCTACTAGAATGTAGCCTCCCTACAACAGAGACTCTGTCTTATTTAATTCTATATTCCCAGGGCCTAAGAATGCACATAATGGGTGCTCAATATATATTTCTCAAGTGAATTATGGTCCAAGGTTCTGGTGGGGGATTAGAAAGCAAAATCAAAGGACAAAAGAGCTATCTTAAACAGCAAATACCACGCTGGCAAAGACAGTTTGGCTGAAGGCCATGTGGTAATAATACTCTTCAGAAATTCTAGAACCCTGAGAATTCCAAAGGGGAGAGTCCCATCTCCGGGTTAGAACTGCCACAGACTGGAAGTTATAACAGAAGCCACGGTCTCAATATGCCTTCTTTAGACATGGGGCCACTTCCCAGGCCTGGAGAGAAGCAGAAATTCACCTCAGTTAAATGGAAATCATCTATTTGGCATCAATTCAACTCAGCAGACATGAATTGGAACTCCCTGAGTGTCAGTCTCTACAGTAGGTACTGTGGGGAGGGGTAAAGATAAATCAGAGTTCCTGCCCTCAAAGCGTTTCGCAATATCTGTACGCCAAGTCTTAGGTGGTACACTTTCCAGGTAAGTGAGGAAGTTAGAACTATTAAAAAATAAGTATGTCTCATCTTTGTAAGTGCTGTAAAAATTGCAGGTGAGGTAGACAGAAGTTCTAGAAAAACAGGTGACGGTGGCATTAATGTTAAGAGGAAGCGGTCGTTTTACAGAGGAGGGAGAAGGGAACAGCATAAGAGGAGAGGGTGGGTGGCGGGGAGTGCGGGGACTGGGGAAGATGTCATCTTCACCTTCCACCCGCTTCCTCAGGATCAATCCAATGGGCTGAAACAGGCCACGCACTCAAACAACCGCGGCGACCGGGCTGCTAGTGTGAACCAGGGAAATGGGCTGGACTAACCCTGGGGAGCAGCCGGTGAGGACGGTGGGTGCTGAAGGAGAGGGCGGGGTGGTGGGGGAGTGAATGCAGGTGGCCCAAAGGTACAGGCTTTCGGCCATGAGATAAACGGGGCCTGCGGGGGATGTGCAGCATGAGCACTGTGGTTAACGCGGCTCTGGGGCATGTTTGAAAGTTGCAAAGAGAGTAGATCCTAAAAGTTCTCGTCTCAAGGGAAAAAATTTTTTTTGTAACAATACGAAGATGGATGTTAGCTAAACTTACTGTGGTAATCATTTCACAATATCTGTATGCCAAGTCTTAGGTGGTGCACTTTAAAATTATATCTCGATAAAGCTAGGAAAAGAATAATGCCCTATCCCCTCCAGGCTCCAGGCTCCAGGCTCCAGGCTCCAGGCTCCAGGTCCCAGGCTCCAGGCCCCAGGCCTGCTCCTGTGGATTGATGTCGGCAGACACATTTGCTCTCACAGACGGTATGGAATTGCCCATTGATAAGCAGCTCAAAGGCCTCAGGGACCCACCGTCCCCCTCCCCCAGATGGGTAAACCTAGTTGTCATCACCAGATCCCCCTTACCAATATGCCAGCATTTTTCATGGCCAGGGGAAGCCCCAGGAGCCCTGTGCCAATGTTGCATTTCAATAAATGGACCAAGGTTTGCATCATCCTGTGTGGGGAGAGCAGGGAGACAAGAGGGCATGTTAGTGGAAGGGAAGGGTGGGCCGAATCTCAGCCTCCTTCCCGCATCTCCAGCACCCTCTGTTCGCAAGAGGGACAAAACCCGATGAAGCAGACTCTGGTTTAGGTCCCAGGACCTTCCTGGAGCAGGTGATCCAGGGCTGGTGCTAGTTCAGATAGCTCAACAAATATTTAACGTGCACTAAGCGTTAAAGAAAAAGTCGCTAACAGTTGCTACCATCTGCATAGCACCCTAGTACAGTTTGTTCATTAACTCATCCGTGGTTTCTTTCATGATTTATTCACTCAAATAATATGTATTAAGACTTACCAGATGTGGAATTTAGATAGGCAATGAAAAAAAGAATTTTTTCAATTTATGGAGTAATTATTGGTGCCTGGTCATTGATTAATTCACTCCCTAGAAAAAATATAATCTCCCATCACATATGGAGTTATTTACTGGTTCTAGGTCACTCTTTTATCCATTTACCCAACCAGTATTCATTTTGAACTTACTCCATGCTATGTGTTGGATAAAATTTAATAGCATCGCTACTGTGCATGTAGAATGCTCACTATGTGCCCGGCAGGGTGCTAGTGCCAGGGTTCTAGATGTTCTCACCTGACTGGCAGCTCCAAACCACCGGGGAGAGGGAAGGTGGGAACAGGATCATAAGGAGAGAATCAAAAAGGAACTGAAACGAAAAGCCGAGTGCAGGAGCCCTGAACCCAGAGGTAAGAAGCACTGGATTCTGAGTTCTAACTTTGCCTTTAACCTACTGTGTTTGGTCACTACTTGGGGAAGGCCCTTAGCTGCTGACACCTTCCTTCTTCACCTGGGT